TCTCTCTCTCTCTCTCTCTCTCTCTCTCTCTCTCTCTCTCTCTCTCTCTCTCTCTCTCTCTCTCTCTCTCTCTCTGTCTCCCTCTCTCTCTCTCTCTCTCTCTCTCTCTCTGTCTCCTCTCTCTCTCCCTCTCTCTCTCTCTCTCTCTCTCTCTCTCTCTCTCTCTCTCTCTCTCTCTCTCTCTCTCTCTCTCTCTCTCTCTCTCTCTCTCTCTCTCTCACTCTCACTCTTTTTGCTCTCTCTCTCTCTTTACCATATTAGACTAGAATATGACTGGCGTGAAAAGTCGTGAAAAGCCGAATGATCACTCAGAGAACTTGGCTTAAATGGCCAATCAGACATTGATTGATGGCTAATGAGAACGCTTGGCTTAATTGGCAACCAAACAGCTTACGTTAATAATAACACGAAGATCTTGGATGATCACCTACTGGCAGAGCAGGAGGCCAGGTAACTGAACGAAGAGGGGAGACTATTTTAGACATTTTAAGAGTCGTCCACTCACCAACTAGTCACAATTCATGGCCAAACAGCCTGTCTCCTTCATTGCCATCTGCTCTAACTGCCATGAAGACAGCTCATCTCTCCTCCCCTCCCCTCTTCCCCTCACTAACAACTCCCCCTCTTCCCCCAAACCACAGCTTCAAACAAGAGTGATCAGACATTTTCAAGATACCGGGAAATGTGCCAGTGATACAATGAAGTGGAGACAAAATATATTTTCTCCAAAACCATTTTTCCTTCTGGAACTTCGAAGACATTTGGGAATACACTATGTGTAAGAACTTGACGGTGTTTCGAGAGTGTGAGGCGAAGAAGAGAAGCAGTTGGTACAAACTTTGATCATCACCAAGAAGGGTTAATGACAGTTGAAGAAGCTCTGGGGACGTACTTAGAACCTCCTTGACTCTTGGGCCAATATTAGTCCACTCTTTATATGATTTCTTTGTGTTTAATAGCTTTTTTAATGCCATTTCCTTTTTTTAATTCTGTTTTGTTTTTGTTTAGCTTATTATGTGAAGTTTTATATAAACACACATGACTGAAATGACACAATTTTCCCTCAAGTATTCCTCAGAAACTTATAATGACATCTTACCAGTCTCAGCCTTATAACTATATACTCTGCCTTATAACCGTCAGAAGATATTACAATATAGTTGTACCTGCTGCCATCTATTTTGGCCAAGAATAATACATTCATAAATACAAAGTTTCATCAAATTAACTTAAAACAAAAACTAGACATTCTAACATTAATTAAATGTTTCCCTGGCAGTCTTCCATGGTAGTTGTGGGTGAGTATGACTCTGAGAGCCGGCTGAGTGGTGCTGTGATGACGTATGGCTTCATAACACAACAGAGGCCCGTTATCTTCCTGTGATTAAAATAGTTGCTGTAGAAAATGCTTCTTTCGTCACGTCCATGTCATAACCGGCACGCACACACACAGACACACACATATATATACAAACACTCAAAGATTTCGTATGCATTCTCGTGTACATGCACACATTCACATGCGCGAAACGCACACTCACATTCTCATACCCACGCATTCAAGCCTGTCTATCCCATTCCTCACCCATTAATTCCCTCCCTCTGTTGCTCGCCCTACACCTAGGGCTGGACGGTAAAGCAACAGTCTCGGTTCATGCAGGTCGGCGTTTAATCCCCGACCGTCCTAGTGGTTATGCACTATTCCTTCCCGCAGTCCCATCCCAAATCTTTATCCTGACCCCTTCCAAGTGTTATATAGTCGTAATGGCTTGGCGCCTCCTCCTGATAGTCCTCTACCTTCCCTCTGTTGCTCATTTTCTCCATCTTTCACTCAGTCCCTTTGCACAATAAATCCCTTATTCTTTAATCCCTCCCTCTTTCGCTAAGCCTATTTTAGTCTCTCAAACTTTCCCACTCTCACACAATTCCCCTCCGGCTAAATCCCTTACTATTTTACAAAATACACACACACTGGTTCAGTACTTGCCTTGATCGTTCAGTTCTTCCCTCCCAACATATGTTACCTTCCCCTCCAAAAATATCTGTACAGACTATCCTTCAGACACCACCAGTGTCCATGAGGACTATCTCTCTCTCTCTCTCTCTCTCTCTCTCTCTCTCTCTCTCTCTCTCTCTCTCTCTCTCTCTCTCTCTCTCTCTCTCTCTCTCTCTCTCTCTCTTTCTCTCTCTTTCTCTCTCTCTTTCTCTCTCTCTCACCAACGTTTCACTGTCACAGTCATGGCCAATAACTGACTAGTAAAACACAGTTGAAAAGTTTTTTTCATATTTGGATTTGGAGGCGTAATGTCTCTCTCTCTCCCTCTGTATACAATCGTCCAGTTATCTTGCAGGTTACCGAACAAACAGTTAAAAAAATAGTGGTCGAATATAATATCTTCCCCTTCGAATGTACCGTCATATTTATTCGACAAGCGGATTCCAGGTCAGCAGTCTGGTAGCCATCAGGGTAATTGTTTCAGGTGACCAAAAGGGATAAAGAGATGGGGAGAGAGAGAGAGAGAGAGAGAGAGAGAGAGAGAGAGAGAGAGAGAGAGAGAGAGAGAGAGAGAGAGAGAGAGAGAGAGAGAGAGAGAGAGAGAGAGAGATAATAGATTTCATGGCAAAAATTGGTCTAGAGTCAGTACATTATATAACTGACGATTAGGAAGGCGGGGGCCCAAAAGCTAACATCTAGATCTTTCAGGCACAAATAGGTAACCAGACACACGGAGAACTCATTCAGATACAAATTATCCGCGGGCACTAAGAGAGTATCCAACTTTGCGTTGATTCCGGGGGTCAATGTTCACCCGGCCCGGTCTCTGACCAGGCCTTGTCATATGCCTCCACTTTTGCCAATATACAAATTAACAGCAGCAGCACACATACAAAGGGACACAGGTAAAAACTCAAAACAGTACCCAAGATACCTACAGAGATGTATAAAACAAAAAACAATTATTGCACAACTTTCAAATAACCAAAACGAACTAAAAATAAAAAGGTAAAGTAATGAAGGACTCCATAAACTGTTTCGAATGTAGATGCCCTCACCACCTCCTACTTCTACTCCTACTCTTCTCCTCCTCCTCCTCCTCCTCCTCCTCCTCCTCCTCCTCCTCCTTCTGTTCTTCTTCCTCTCTCAGCACACCTCAATCACGTTCATAAATGCAAAAATGCAGCGACAAGCGAAAATAAAGACATTCACAAGCAGGAAAGAAGCTGTGTGTGTGTGTGTGTGTCAGTTATAAGTTCCCATCAGAAGAAAATGACCTGATAAGAAGCTTGCTTCGAGGACTGAAGGTTTAGGCAATACGTGTCGTTCTGTCACCAGAAGCTGCAGAGATCATTCGGTTAAGAAGATTGGACTTAATTAACAGCAGATTTGATTAATTAATTCACTTAGTTTCAGCCGTAATTTATCTATACAATGGAACGTTGTCTGAGCTGAGACGCGTTGTCTCAAACGTTTAACAAAACAGATTACGATTGAATGAATTAAATCTGCGTGTTTAAAAACTTGAAAGTTCTTAACAGGAGCTAGGAAGCTGAAAAACAGGAACAGAGAAACTGATTAACAGGAGCTGAAAAGTGAATAACAGGAGTAAGGAACTGAATAACAGGAACTGAGAGCTGAATAACAGGAACAGGAAAGTGAATAACAGGAACCGGGAAGCTAAATAATAGCAACTTGGAAACTAAGTAACAGAAGCTGAGAAACGATTAAACAGGAGCTGAAAAGGGTATTGGGATTTTGAATGAAAATATTATCTACAGATTATAAAAAGAAAGTTTTGTGAATGCATGTGTGTGTGTGTGTGTGTGTGTGTGTGTGTGTGATTTTACTATATGTGCCTGAGAATCGAACTATTAGCTCTTGGATGCATATGTGTGTATATGTATACATGTGTGTGTGTGTGTGTGTGTGTGTGTGTGTGTGTGTGTGTGTGTGTGTGTGTGTGTGTGTGTGTGTGTGTGTCTATATGTGTGTGAATATGTATGTGTGTGTGTGTGTGTCTCCAAAAAACGACAACTCCAAAAAAAATTATATGGGTCGCGCTAGGAAATCTTCTTGAACGAAGTGTTTAAGACATTCTCAATTTTGCACTGTAAAGGTTATCTTGAGGATTTCGGGGCTTAGCGTCCCCGCGGCCCGGTCCTCGACCAGGCCTCCTTTTTGTTACACACCCCCAGGGAGCAGCCCGTAGCAGCTGTCTAACTCCCAGGTACCTATTTACTGCTAGGTAACAGGGGCATCAAGGCGAAAGAAACATTTTGCCTATTTGTCTCCGCCTCCGCCGGAGATCGAACCCGAAACCTCAGGACTACGAATCCGAAGCACTGTCCACTCAGCTGTCAGGCGCTCTGCTGTCTATCTGTTTTAATCGTGTGTTAAATAAGGCACCAGGAATGGTTTGTTGATAAACACTGCATCAGCGCTAGTGTCAGCTACGAGCGTTACTCAAATTGAGGTATAGTAGGGAAAAAATAATTAAATATTATACTATTCACTTCAATCGAAAATCCATTGTTTTAACCATTTCTGTGTCGGTCAATTTACTTCTTTATTCTCACATCATGTAAAAGAAAACTCTACAAATTACCAACTTTATCAGTATGTCATTTAATGATTAGTTTCATGAGACCACTCGTTGTTTAGGAAGCTTTCGTGACGCATTTTATCCGTTGCCATCGTTTGAGGCAATTTTGTTTCGATATGTTATTTTAATTATTTGTTTTCCTTTACTATTTTACACTGAATCAAACCAGGAAGGCAAATATTATCAAGTAAGAAAGAGAAAGGTACCAAGGAAACCATATTTACACACTAGTTGTAGAGTTCTAATTCTAGAGAGCTTTTATCCCTTTATCCGTCATCTGAAACGTTAGGGAGAGTTAGTGAAGGAGTCCACAACACGCGACACACATGTAAATAAACACTCCCGCTGGAGGAAGGGGGTGGGGGGGGGGGAATGGGGAGGTTTAATGGGGGTACTTACTCCATACATGGACGCTCCAAGTGCCCTTCTTGCTGCCCCTGTGCCCTCGGTCACTCTCCGTGCTGCCGCTGATGTCGCTGAAGTCATCGAGGCCCGCTAATGAGTCTTCCGAAGTCTGTCCATTGTTCATCGTCTGCCACCTCTTCAAGATGTCTTTGGTCTTAGAGCGGGTTCGGTCGCCCATGACTCTCCACGTTTTAACGATCTTGTTGCCGGACATGGGCGAGTTAGCCCCGCTAGAACCTGAGGGAGGCGCTGCCGATGGCGACGCCGTGGCTCCCTCGGGAACGGGGCGAGAGTGAGCCGAGTCTTTACCATCCTTGACCTGGCGCGACATGCTGCGCAAGAGGTGTCAAGCGGTTAAGGCGCAACCTACGCCACCACAGGTTCCTGGCGACGTCCACAGCTCCTCCCCCTCCCCCTCCCTCCCCACACACACACACACACCGTGTCCTCGCGAGGCCCGTGCCGTCCTTGGACCCGTAGTCCAGGTCCGTGTCAACAGGAGTGGCACCTGTCACTACCGATGGCTCTCCTCGCCTCCAAGTGACACCCTTCACAACGCCATCACTCCCTGCGTCTCACATACACCGTGCCTCGACGGCTGTCTGTGGGTAACTGACGGCTTAAGCACAGACAAGATGTGAAGACGAGTAATTAACAAATCTAGTATGTTTATAAATAGCAATTATAGGAGCTGCATATTGCAAGAAGCCGTTATTAAATTGTTTATATATATATATATATATATAGTTCCGATACGATGATGGACAGTTGTAGCCACAGAAAATTGAAGCAAAAGGTAAAACTATGGGAACATGTAATTATAGAAAATTACAGAGGCTGAGGCTTTGTATTCCCTACTCCACATACACACACACACTGCAGCACTGTACACAGTCTAATATCAATAAAGAAGCAGCATATTTAATCTATAACGCAACTCGCGTCTGAAGGTTAATATCTGTTTAGACCAAAGCAGTTTAAAAGCTTCATGGTACACGCATGATTGTCATACGAACACGCATGTTCACGTAGATGAGGAGACTCATGTCAGCAGCAGAAGCAACAGCAGTGACAACAGCAACAGTCGAGGAGGGGGGAGGGGAGGGGGGGGGGTCACGAGCATTCCCCCCTCACAACCTTCGGAAATAATTTATTTGACTTCAGGAGAATCAATTCTACGAGTCTCTGGTCTTTTGCTGGCCTCAGCTACGATGGTGGTGCTGCTGTAGCTCGGAGTTTAGCTGATGTTCATACCGCTGGGTCGCTTCCTCGATCTCTTACATGTTGCATACATTGAGCGGCTATTGCTGGTGTTCGGGTCGTGCGTGCAACATTGAGCCGATGTTTTGACATAACATCGCTCCTTGTGGTGTCATTCCTCCAAGCGCACTTGCTGAAATGTTTGATCACTTGGAAAGTTACTTTATAATGAGCATTCAACTTTTACTATTTTGTTTCCTCTTATGGCCATTCCGATTCCAAACACCACCAAAGTTTCTTCCAAAATATTGATCACCAAGAAAAGATCCTTTGGTTCACTATGAAAATAAAACAATGGATTGCACTACGTTGTTAGTTGTCATATTTTAAACACAAAGCCCAATTGTAAGGAAAGAGAATGTAAGAATTGATCTTTTTGATCAATTCAGTGTCCTGACATTTGCTTTCATGAGATATGCACGCAAATAAAAATGTGATTTCAAATTATTTTGTATTTTACATTATTTTTTTTTTTTTTGACTGGCGGGTTCTGGCGTGCAGTCTTCCACCACCACTACTGCTACCAGGTGGCACCACCGGCACCAACCTCCTCAGTGGGGGTTACTTAAACAAGAGGTGCGAGCAGTTGGCAGGAGGTACTCGGACATGGCCGGTCCTGCCGCCCTCCAGACGATGACTGGTCCCGCTTCCCTCACGCCAACACCACCTCACGACCACACTCATGCACGCACGCGCACTCACGCACAGGTGCATGCACGCCGACCGTCCCTGGCCCCCACACACGTGCGTGCACACTCATGGCTAATGTTTTCTCTAAGTTAACGCATTGACGAATGCGACGTCATGGTCTCCAGGCGGACTTAACTGCCAAGCTAAGGGGAGAACTGATGCATATATGGACCAACACACACATATACACTGCCTTGACCCAGCTCAGTCTCCTGGTTAAAGACTGACACCAGCTAGAAGATTGGGTTAACAGTGTACTATATAAGCAAGATGACTGCCAACTTGCTCATGAAGACCGCTCCCGACACCAAATGACAAATGTCGTCTATAGTCCTTCATATGCCCACTTAAGGACCGTCAGTCTCAACGATCTCAGGATATAGGCAAGACAACAACAATTTTTCCAAACGTCTGACCATGCACATGCAGCAAGGCCCTATCAAGGAACAAATGGTCTCTACACACACTAAGATGATCACCAGAGATATGCTGACCAAAAAAAATCGACAGATACAACGTCAATAGAAAATTGGATATCGGAGAGGCACTGCATGTTAAATATACCCAGTCAGCTACCATCACCCAGCTATAACACCTGTTTACACTCTTCCATCTTCGAGACCAAGACAGAACATCCAGTATACTGTGCCAGCCGTCAATTAATTATTGAAATTTGGTAAGCTGTAGTGAGCCTACTGGTACACGTGACACTTGACCTCACTTTTGCCCAACATATTTGACTGCTTCAGTCAAATCGTTTTCACTTGTATGCTGCCTTTGAAAATTTGGACAGGATCTACGAAACGCCTTTCTTAGCCTCAGATCATAGTAAAGTTGAAAAATAAATTTCTTAAACTTTATTTTTTACTTCTCAAATGAAGAAAACATGAAATATAGAGAAGATTCGCTTAACTCATTACGGCCATATCTACATATTAATTTTCCTGTGACTACTTCAACATTAATTCGTCGAATTTAGTATGCGAATCTATAGCCTTAATGCTCATTTGCATAAGTGCTCTGAAACCTTATAATGCGTCTTCGAGATTCCTAATAGCTGTTCTATCTGAGTGTGAGAAAGAGAAACAGGGTGAGAGAGGTAGGCAGCTATAAGGAGAGAAATAGATATAGAAAATGGAAAATGGATAGAGAAAAAGGTACATCCAAGGAATAAGACATTCAAGTCTACGCTTTTACAACCAAACGCATGGCAGTAAGTATGGAAAGTACGCAGCAAAAGTTTCCATAAAATTTTCCATCGGGATCCTGACATACTCCTAGAGCTAAGGAACATTGGAGAACGGAATCTCCCGCATGAAAGTGATGGCAAAAGAAATAAACATGAAGGCCTGGATGCAATAGAAGCCCCAGCCCAAGATAAGAGGCTCAGTATGGATACTAACAGAGGAACGTGAAGCCCTGGGCCAACACCTTGCTTCAGAACGTGACTCTTCCAATAAAAATGGAGAGCCATTATTTTGTTGATAGTGGTTAAAATATGCAGGAAGGCGCATAGAAGCAAAAACCCACTGACCTGAATAACTAACAAACATCACATGCATGAAGGACTGAACCAAAAGATACATTTGGAATACTTAAAGCAGCTAGAGAAAAATTTTGCTGCACCAAACTTATTAAAGTTTTAAAAAATATGACTTAAATCAAACATGTGAATTAGGATTTGAAACGCTTAATATTTCCTGATCGTCAGAGAGCATTCGACTGTGTTAAAAAAAAAAAGATAATTACACAAGATACAAAAAAACGGATTAGTTTATTTGGAAGAGTTCTAAATTGGGTGAGGGATTATCCTAACAAGGTAGTAAAGAGGACCTGTAAAATGAATTTCAGAGCATTCATGTGACTGGGTTAATATCAGAAGGGTTGACACTATGGTCCATCCTCTTAATAATAAATGCTAACGACCTGACAGACAAAACTGGAGTCGTCAGATCACTCTTTGCTGACGATGTTAAACTTGCGAGAATAATCAGAACCGAAAAGGACAGTGGTACAATGTAAATCAAAATGAACTAGTCATCGCTTAAGAGATGGTTATCAAATTAGCAACTGCACCTAAATCCAGTAACAGGCAGACCCCAAAACTCCTGTTTAAAATAAAGAGAAGACAGATTATATTTATAAAAAAGGAGAAAATCCTGGGAGTAAAAATAATCCCAAATATTATGCCAGAGGAAAACATTAGCAGAATAACCTTGCCAACATACTTTAAGCTTGCAAACGTCCGGATAACCTTCAGGCTTTAAACAAAAAGAAACCTTATGATTTACATGACATATATCCACATGCAACTTCAGCATGAAACTTCCTTACAAAATGTGGTTTCATGCTGAGGCTGCATTTACACAAATTACAAATAAATCATAATGTTCAAGGATATAGAACAAGGTATTTCCTGAACTAAGAGGACTGACCTATGAGGAAGGATAGAGAACAGGACTTCATCACACTGGAAGAATTGAACTCTCGCATTTGAGTGTTTTATTCATCTCTCGGACATTTGCCTTCCTACAAATACACAAATCTCTAGGTCCGATCCACAGACAAAAAAACAGGGGCCCTCCTCTCCAACCCCATCCCACCCGGGATTTACGTGAGGCAGAACGACAGCACTAACAGAACCTTGCCCAATTTACGATCTCATTAATTAATTTCACAGCCCAAAGAGTCCTTCCAGCTCAGCTCGACTCGGATCGGTGCAAATGGGCTCGAGACATTAATTGTGCCTTTAGTAATGGTGACGTATTGAACGGTCGGCCGCCCAGGCGTGTTTGACTTGAGTACATTTCGCTGTAAATATTGAGGATTACTTTCTCTACTCGAGACAGTGTCACTGCTTTTGAGTGTGCAATAGTGCACTAGGGATACTGATGTTAATAGATTCAGTGTGAGATAGTGTAGTGTGGGACAGTTAGAGGAGTCCGTATTCAAGATGGTGTACTTGATCACTATTACATAGAGTCGGTATTTGATAGTGCTTTGAAAATCCAGTTATAGTGCTAATATATGCTGTTACAATGGTGATACTGTTATGGGGGTCAGTGTGGGGAATTGTACGAAGGATACTGTCGTAGATTTCAGGTTTGTCACAGTGTACTGATGAAACTGTAAGAGTGTCACGGGTCACCGTTTATTTAAATTGTAAATGTTCATGTAGCCTAGCCATTCTTAATTGCAAATTAGTGTATATTCGTTAATTTTCTGACCCAATCACATTTATAATACGACTGCATCTTTAAGTGCCACTGAATCTGATTTTCTTCTAACTGAAGCTGGTGTGTGTTTGTTTGGGTGCCCATTATTTCAAGTTAAGTAGAATGGTTGCATCGAATATATCCTAGATGAATTGAATACAATCTCTCCAATAAGAAAAGTTCAACAAAGCTTGGCTAATCACAGTGAGCCAGGTGAGTTACTCAGTCAATGAGAG